CCTGGCACGTGTTTTTAACAACAGATTCAGGAGAAATCACTCTGTAACTGGAGCAGAATCTGCAGTGCCTTATTAATTTTCTTGTGAAAAGACAGCTCATGGAAGAATCCTAAAAGTCAGTTGCTGTATCTTATGTCTGGAGAAAGGAGATCTGTTGTTTCAGTGGTGGCTGTAGGTCTGCTTGTAACTTGTTTACAAGACACATAGGCCAGCAGAAAAGCAGCAGAATGACCAATCACAGTGATAGTGTGTCGTTTGGATATTGTGAGCCAAAACCTGACTTCAGCCACCTCTTTGCCTTTAGTCCTACAAGGCTCTTTTTAGTAAAAATTTTCTGCTGGAGTTCAGATAATACTCTTTTGATTAATTGATTACTTTTTCCCCTTTCAGTTGATTTTACACCTCCATTGCCATACTTTACTTTTACTTTACTGTTTCAATTTGCTTCTGAATTGAGTCTATAATCATGGATGGAACAGCATCAACCTAAGCATTGGAATAAGCTCCCCAGGGAAGTGGTGGAGTCACCATCTCCAGAAGTTCTCAAAGAATGAATAGATGTGACACTTTGCAGTATAGTTCAGTGGCCATAGTGGTATTCAGTCAATAGTTGGATTTCATGATCTTGGAGATCTTTTCCAACCTTAGTGATAGTGATTCTATATTGAAACTATATGATAACATACTAGGGTCAAGAGACTATAATGATTTGATTTACAGTTTTTGAGAAATTAAAAAATTGATATTTTATGACTGTTTTGTCAACCTATTTTGATGAATATGATCAATTAGAATTAATATACTTATAAACACAGTCCTTTTACACCAAAGTTTCTTTGGAATGCAGCTTAATTTATGATCCAACAATCAGTTGGATTGATCCCTAGCCTGTGTCCTTGTTGGAAAACATACAGCTATGTCATCAACAATAGGAAAGCTTTTAAAATTCCAGGTATTTTCAAGGGATTTCCAGGAAATATTAGCTGCTCCTCTGCAAAATGATGACTTTTAATAATCAGAGATAATCATGTCTCTGTGGAGACATCATTTATAGTGTGGAGAGTAAAATTTGAACCAATCAGTACTATGTCTATCAATGAGCAAAGCCCCAAGACCAGTCTGAACTTTCAGTCCTCCAGTCTAAACTAATTTGCTCAAGCATCTTAGAGTACATGCTTTGGTAAAGTTACTCAGAGGTTAAGCAGCACTGAGCTCTCTTGTTTTTCCTTTACCTCATTGTCCCACCCATGTAAAACCTTGGAGGTGAAAGGCCACTGAAATCTTAATGTGGCATCTTGTGCACACTGCACACCCAGTGCAGCTGAACAATCAGGCCACAAGCTTTTATCTCTAAGACAGGTGTTCCATAATGGGGTTGCTCTCAGTGTCAGCAAAACAGGTCCCTGTTTAACTCTAAGGTGGTTAGAAAGGCTAGGACATTTAATTTGAGATAGCAACCTTCACTAGCTTGTTAGACAAACTATTTAATAGGTGACTATGTGAACAAGGGTTAGACTGGTGGAATGAATGGAGACAGGCAGGGCAGTGTGTGACACACTCCCTTGTTGGCTGGACATGCTTTCTGGTGTCTTCTTGTAATTCTCTGGCTCTACTCCCATAGGAGATGCCTTTCAGAATTCCCTTTCCAGAATTTGTTGCTGACACTCTATGCTGTCTGTGAACAGAATTCTCCATATCCTTGCAAACTTAACCAAAGAAAGGTATTGCCCTGTACCATTCTCATCACTGTGGTTGTTCCCCAGAGTTAAAGGAATATAACTAGAAAATGATACAACTCCTAAGTATGATGGGTAACATTTATAACCATTAGTCAGTACTCCCCCACCAGGAAAATGGACTATCTTAGCTTGGCATTTGAGTGAAAGTGAGAGAGGGCAGAGAGAAAAAGATAGTGAGGTGTATCTTATCTTCCCATAGAGAACAAAGTATTGTGCATGCATCCCTTTCTACAGGTGACCTGTGGGGATTTATGCTGCCCACTTTCAACAAACTGGGGATTTCCATTTATCTCACAACACCCTGCCCAGCTACTGACTTCTTGTAGCAGAGCAAATCAACCCAGCCCTACTGTACATCTGAAGCCTAATGTAAAATCTGAGCTATAATGTCCCAAGATTTAGAAGCAACTGTTGTTTGGCTGCAGCATAACGTGAGGTGATACAGCAGCTGTAAATAATTCCAGAGAAAGCTGCTCAGAATCAAATAGCTTTCGATCTGATCCCAGCAGTTTCATCTTCTCCTTCGTGAAAGATATATTGGATAAATTAAACTTTAAGTGTCTGAGACTCAGGAGCACTCTGTTTGACCTAACCTTGTTGCCACGGAGGGCATGGTCGATTGCAATGTTAAAACCACTATGACCATGGTCAGGTCAATGAGGATGACTTAAAAATACTGCCATAAAACATCTTTCATGTTAAAAAAGTCAGTAAAAACACACAGAGAGAATGTTTATAAACACTTAATGAGAATTGGGATAAGTGAATTGAATGAAAACTATCTAAAGCCTCCATTTTCACTAAATCTTTGTTATCTTACTTTTCTTGTGACAGTGTTCCAATAATCAATTTTTTCTGACAAGATTAGTGTTATACTTCCAGATGCAGATGCTTGAAATCCAGTATTTCTCTTTCATGGAATGTTAAACAGGGATTGACAGGGTAATAAAGGATACATGGGGACTAATAATTGCATGGCATCTTTTAACAGGCATTTTTAATTGAGGTTCTTAAACTCTCATTTAAGAACTGTAGGTAAGTTTTCATTTTATATCAATAACTGAAGAAAAACATACTTGTCTTTTTTTCTCCCTTACCTATTTTTTTAGAAAAAATGATGAGGTATTATGAGATATGCAGAACTCGGCATCATAGTCAGAAATACCTTCTCTATCACTGTATGCTGGATTTTACCATCGAGCTATGAAATGTTAAAATTCAGTAAAAAATTTAAAGAAAATTATGCAAAGCAGTAAAGAAAATGCATTTATTTAAAAACAGCTAACACAATATAACAATCAGATTTAGAGTTTTAAATCTAATTTCCATGGTTTTTGTTAGCTTTAGCCTGAGCCTTAACTCACTGTTTTGTAGTGTGCATTACAGTTCAGCACTCCTTATTGAAACTTCTGTCATATTGTAACAAAAGATAGAGACTGCTTTGGAATAGTTCTATAAATGAACTGAAAAGCCCTTGATTTTGGCCAGTAATGAGTAATAAAAAAGACTCAGATTGGGAGCAAAGCCAACTATCTGAGCAACAATATTAATTTGAAATGCATTGAAGTCATATATGATTATGAGAATGCCAAGTGTATGGCTTATTAAATTTGCTTGATGAGAATTCTTGGGAGAAGAGAAAGAAAGAGGCAGTGCAGGTCTCACTGAAACAGCTGCATGTGAAAGGGTAATATTTGGATTAGAAAATAAATTAGAAGAATTCAAAGGAATTTAACAACAATTTTTGAACTACATCATAAAGGAGGCTGAGGATTAAGAGCTTATTGGGGAAGAGAAAAACAGAATAGAAAAGGGTGCATAAAACTCATAACTCCATAGAGAAACACATAATCCCTTTTCTGTGTGTTCAAGGGTAAATCGAGTTTATTTTCACTATTTTATTTGCACTTCTTGAATAGAAGGGAATAACAAAGTAAACATGAATAAAACCAGTATGCGTTTAAACAAGATGTTAGTTAATTCTGTAGTTGAAAAAGCTTCATATGTAATTAAAAATATCACCATTTTTCTTTTTCTCTGTCTGAAGTTATGCATCACCAAAGCATGCAGATGGATCCCTGAAAAAACCTTGTATTCAAATTTGAAGTTATATGCAAGGGTAGCAATGGCAAATTTAATTCAGTATTTCTGCAAAAGAGAAACAATTCTATAGTAGATATAAATGTCCTTCCCTTACAATACAGTCATCAGAGAAAGGTTACTTCTCTGCTGGAATACTTTTTGAAAGCATCAGACTCTGCTGGTATGAAGAAATGCAATTGAGAAGTCTTACCCTGTTCAATAGCTAACACTTTATTATGGAAGTACTGACCAGAAAGTTTTTTCTGATTTAAAATCTGTAAGACTCTAACAGTTGAGCTGGGACTATGGCCAGTATTTTTTTCTATCAAGCTGTTTTTGATAGAAAATTGGATTTTTGATTAGATTGAGATGTGTAAGAAACGATGAAATTTTCTACGTGAAATTTCCAATGCTTAGAAGAGAGGAGCTGCTGAAAAAGGTACCAGATCACATCATGAAAATTATAGTATTGGACTGTGTGTTTCCATTTTGTTCTAGGAGATAGATTTTCTACAACCTGGTGTTCATGGGACATATGAGTCAACATTAAAGGGGAAGAAAACTGCATTTAAATGACTTATTATAGGATCTAGGTAGTGGCAGGGTAGTCTAAAATTACTCCTTGTGCTGAAAAGTATTTTGAAGATTGCAATGCCATAGATCTGAGAACTTCTCCAAGTTTTAAAAAATAATTACAATTGCACTAGTCACTTGTTCGAACAAAAAGCAGATGACCAAATTTCTCATCTCTAAAGCTCTAAATAACACAGTGGAAAAAAAAATCACTATCCTTCTAATTATGTCATTTTTTAATGAAGTCTGTGGGCCAGACTGTAGTTTAGACTGTCCTTTCCAAAAATCTACATGGATCCAGCCTCTCTGAGCACTTCTGTCTTACCAGAGCTCTTTGATTTCCTTAACTTGGAAGCATTTTTGTATGGAGGCTGGTGTAAACTGTTGTCTGCACACCTGACTGGCATTTCAGGTCTCTTGGGAAGGACAGATTCTTATATTCTTGTATTTTTTTCTTATCCAGAGAATAGTTAACTGTTTCTCTAGTCTTTCCCCTAGCGAAGACATAAGCCTCTTGCCTTGCATCAATGAAATGCCATCCAGCTATATTCCAGTAGCTGTTATTCCTTGCACCAGTTGAAGAAACAAAGTCAATTATTTCCATACCTGTTTAGTTCTCATTTTGGAATCTGTTGACAGATTGTTGTAGGTGTAATGGGCCTGTGTAACTCCACAGAAAAGGACTGCAACAATACCTGAAATTCAAAGAAAAAACAGCGTTAGCTGTTTCGATTTTCTTACTTAGGTTTGCAAAAGGTTGCATAAAAGAGAAAATTAGTCTGTTATCACCTTTTTATATCAGAAGAAATTTGAGATATATTCTAGATATTTTTTTTTTCTTTGCTAAAAATCCTGTAGATCTTGAATCTTCTACCTGGATGATCATGCATTCATAGCACTTCTATTGTTGTGTATTTGGCCTGAGGCTGTAGAAAATTTGTTTCAACTAATACATGGTGTATGATCTGACTGTAATCTATCTGACAGTAATTGTAAAAGTAAGACTAACATAATTGTAGTATGTAGGACTTCAGACCTTTTGAAAAAATTTGTCAGAGACTGAATAGGAAAGGAAAAAAATAATTTTATTATATTTTAGTGGTTTGAGTTCACTTGGTACTGAATGACTGCAGCAGGGGAAAGTCAATTCAGTCTGTGCCTTACTGCAGCCTTTTCATAATCATGTGCAAGGAGGACAACAACACATTGCTTAGAAGTGGTGCTCTGGCAGGTGCAAACTGCACTGCCCAGAACAACCAGGTCAATGACACATGGCAGCAGTTATATTCCCAGCTTGAGGAGCAGGGCAGCAGGTTTTCCAGGAATAATAATAAAAATTATTTTTTTTTTAGTGCTATTTTTTAATACTTCTTCCCTGGCCCTGGTTCTAACTCGCTACAATCATACAGTAACATCACTGTAATGCAGTATTATAATTAAAGTAGCTGACAAGATTGTAACTATAGTTTCCTGTCAGCTCTGGACCCAGATAATGAAGAAGGAGCCCATACAGGGAGAAAATGGAAAACCAAAATAAAATGTCCACCAGTAGCCATACGTAAGTGCCCTCGTGGGAAGAAAGCTCTGGGCTTTTCTTCAACTCAGGGCATGCCTACATAGATAATTATTTACACAACAGCTCAGGGCTTTATGGTGTCCATTCTGATCATCATTCCCCTGAAAACCTTCACACACTTTTCCTGAAGCACATGGAGCGTGCAAGTTCTGCTTGGTTTTGAGCTGCACATCATGTGAGCAACAGCTGGCTTAGCCCAGAGCCAGCCTGCGGAGGCATCACTGTGTGCCAGGGATCTCCAGGGCTCACACAGCCACTTTTCCACAGTGCCTTAGTCCTTGTGCCTTTCAGCCCTTCTACTCCCTGCCTCCTGTGTAGGAGCCACAACATGCCCTGATTAGCCTTTCAGTTCTGCTTCCTCATGGGCTGCTCTGGTCATTGTTAGGTAATTTTTAGCTCATAGGCTGCTCACATTTACTGAAATTATATTGATGAGTCTGAGGCAACAAAGCAAGCGGAAAGATATCTGTCCAGATTTAGGCACTATCCAGCCTTGCAATGTGATTGTGCTCAGCTTTCTGAGCATTTATTGTGTTAAACTAGCATGAACTGAAACATATAAACTAGTTGTATTGGAAGCAAAAGCATGAAGTGGAATGTAAAAGTAATCCCAGTGTCTTCCTTCAGTCCTGGACTTGAAACTGGATAAAGCTTCCTCCATCTTCTCCAGGATGGGGACTATCCTGACTTAATGAAGGCCAGTAAGAAGGGGCTCAGTAAGGGGATGGAATTTGTAGTGCTGCACCTTTAGCACAGCAACCCAATATAAACAATCTGCTACTTCAAAAGGGTTAATAGAAGCAGGCTGGGCTTCAGACTCACAGGAAAAATGGACTGCACTGTACTGAACAAGTGTGAGGTGCTTCAAGCACTGGTGCCTCAACATGTTCTTTAACAGGCTTATCCAAATCTCTAAATGTTTGAATTTTAGCAGCAGGAGGGTCTTTGAGGTAGGTGAAGTATCCTTCTGCCCTGAACCATGGCACAGATAAGGGAACAAATCAAAGTAATAATTTAGACAATGCTGAAATTAATCCATTTGAGGGAGATGGTGTGTGTGGGATCTGTGTGGTGTCACATACCAGTTACATTAATTATTACCTTACTACATCTTTCTCTAGACTCTCCTTGGATTGCTACCCATGCAAATATTGGCCAACAAAATCCAATTTTCATTACTTGCAAGACTCTCTTGTTTCTGGGAAGAACTGAGACCTGGCATTAATATGCCTTTAAAGGAAGAATGGAGTAAATAATTCTGAGATGAATTTGGCCCAAGGGATAACTGCCATCAGAAAGAAAATGATTATTTCTTTAATAATAATAATAATATATTATAAAAATAATATTTTTTTCCCTCAAAAAACCACTGTAGACATTTTCTTTGCTTCTGGGTTATCTTTATATTGTAAATTTACCTGTATTGCTTCTGCAGAACTGTCTCTGTAGCCAAGAGAAATTCCACCAAGCTTTAAGTAATGTCTTCTTTTTTTAATATTTATTTTCTTAAGTTGGCTTTGATATTTGTTTTTTTCTAGCTACACTAAGACTTTTCTTCACAGTAAATAACGTGAGGAGCGGTGAGGTTGTCACTGCCTAAATACATTTCAGGGAGTTCATATTTTCGTGAGGTCTAATTGCTCATAAATATGTCTAAGTCTTTTTTCTCAATAATTGTATTTGATTGTGCAGAAATGATCTGGTGAGTTTAAAAATTCTCAAGGTATAGATAATATGCAATGGGATGCTCAAACAATGACATTTCAGCTAAAAATGTAGCCAGTCAGTAATGTTGCTAAGTATCACTAGCTCCAGGCTCAGAACAGAAATGGAGATAAGAGCTTCTGATTCACTTTCTTCTCTATTAATCATCATAGTGTCATCTTGCATTTTTAAAATTGACTATTAAATATGATTATGAACTGTTCTTGACTGCTAAGAAACTGTTAATTATGTGTGTGAGAGAACTGAGTGACGTGAGGTAAAAAATGGCCTAAATCTGATTTTACAATAAGAATAAATGAACCGAACCGTGCAATTATGCAAGTGTAGAAACCAGATACCCTGTTTCCAGGGAAGACTGGGGGAATGCAGAGGAATATTTCAATTGCTACAATAGAAAGCTTAATATGTACCAGCCATGCCTCTTGCAATGAATGGTTCATTAAGAGTCTTGGAGAAAATTGTTTGTAATGTATTTACATAAAAATGATTACTTAAGAGTAAGGACCAATTACATTTTAATGCAACTACAAATGAAAGAGAAGTACCTAAAGAGGCAAACACAGAACTCTTTAGTTAGAAGAAAAAAGCAATCTGGATTTCTTTGTAAGACTATTAAAGCTAGATCTTGAAGTTAGCTGGGTAGCAAAATACTGTATGAACAGAGTATGGCACATAAATGAGGTTGTTAGTTTTTGCAGGCTTGCTTTCACAGAGAAACAGGTAAGAGCAAATATGGCAATACTGGAATTGTAAACAGAAAGTATCTATTAGATGTAGGGAGGCAAATAAAACAAGACAGTCTTTTTAGCAGTACTTAGTGCTCAGTGAGTAATTTCAGACTTGGAGACTCAGCTCTCTGGTTTCATTTTTAAGTGGCAAAAGTAGCAACTACTGAGACACTTAGTACTACAATTGCCGAACAAAATGCTAACTTAACCAGGTAATGTTTTGATTTGAAATGAGTGATCAGTTGCTAAGTGCAATACAGCTCCTTGTGTTTATTAACAGATTATTGAAATTTTTCTCTTAATATAAAAGACGAGACACTTCACAATAAAATGCTTATAGTCACTAGTAAACTTTCAGCTGCAGCTCATCCTCTTTGAACAAGTTTTATTAGAAAAAAAATCTTACAATTTTATTTGATTTTTTTCCCCACCTTATATAACAGAGAAACAGACAGCTTGCTAGCTGCTAATACAGTTAGAGAACTTATTCTTACATTAGTTTTTACCAATACTTGTAGCTGATTGTTGGGACAAAAGTGAGTAATATGAAAAGATAATACAGGATAAATGAATAACTTGTATTTTAAAAAGTATTTTGTTGATGGTGTGAACATTAACCTGACAGTGTGAGAATTAATTTACAAGAGTTTATCTAAAAACATCTTCTATATTTTCACTAAAAGACAATTTTTTTTTGGATCATTTCACAAATGCATAAAAAGAAACATTTAGAAAGGGCAGCATGTGCAATGTGCTTTTAATGTAAACCTGGAAGTGAGTGGCCACAATCAAAACTTGAGAATTTGCTGATTTGAGAGAATAAAACTGACATGATGTCTCCAGCTGTCAGGCCTTTAGTGGTAAAAAAGGGATAGAAAAAGAAAACTCCCAAACCTCTACCTTCTGGGGAAGCAAGGGAATAGATAAAAAGTTCATCTCTAAAGATGCACAACATACTGCAAATCCCCCAGTAAAGCAAAACCAGCAGGAACTGGTCTTCATCAAAGGTGGTGAAATGTGTGGAAAGGAGAACAATGAGGATTGGGTAAAAGAGAAATTATTTAAATCAGATAAAATGTACTTTGGAGTCATATTTATGTCAGAATCTCCCCAGCACCTACTGGGATGCAGAGTGACTGTGTGAGTGGCAGGAAATGAGGCACTGTCGTCTGCCTCAAATTGCTGTGGTAATAAGGCCATACATCCAGTGGCAACAATATCCCTATTCACTCTGTTTTCACTGAGGGTATGAAGTGTGACTAATCATTTTCTTGATACTAAAGAAAAGATTTAAGGCTTCTTTCACCAGACCTGCACCAATGCAGAACTAAAGCTCGTACTTTGTTCATGAAGCTTTTATCTCTGGAGTTGTGTGAGGTTTATTTTATGTTGAAGTGACAGAAAGTAACAAAAGATAGAGCTGAGGGGATTTTTTGGGCCCTTATCTGGGGATGGTACATTGGTATTGCACCTGGCTGCTTCCAGACCTGAGCTGCAGTGTTGTACTTTTGTAACCTCAAATGAATTGCTGAATTCAATTTAGATTGGAACCCCTATGGTGACACATAACAGCTTTTATCCTAGACACGCTTAGAGTGCTTACCCTGTTTATCCTGAATCTATGCAATAGCAATAAGACTCCACTATCCTCATTTTATGCAACTGTTCATTGGTCTCAACCTAATGCCATGCTAGAATATGTACTTTTCTCTAAAATCATATACCTTTCTCTTTTTCCCATACTGTCTTAAAAGGCTATACCTACAGCAGACCCTAAATTAGCCAGACCCAAGAATTGACTCCAAATTTGTAGCAATCTGGCTCACTTGTTATCCGTCTCTGCACAGCACTGCAAGGGCCATCTTCTCACCTCAGAAGAACCTGCTCTTCTCATTGGGCTCAGATTTCACTCTGTGCTCCTGGGAGTGGCAGATCTATGGCTTAGGAGAATTGAGTTTTACTCTAGAAGCCAAGGTATCTCTTCTTCCTTAGTGGGAGGAGTCTGCCTATTTCTCTGTGTGACACAACATGGCACGCTACTTATGACTAAAGGAAAGAAAACCACAAAGTTTGGAATTTAAAGCCCAGAATAACTTCCTTTTATAGAATAATGTCAGCTCAGTGAACTAAAGCCCATGTGGTCCCAACCTGACCTGGGCTTGCAGTGCTCAGAACTGCAGACAGAAATGTTCTGGTAGATCCCTTCTGAGAGTGTCACAAGAAGAACCGGTCACAACATTTTAAAAAGCGATGAGGTAGATGGTGGATCCAAGACAAATTACAGCAAACAGACAGGAGCAGTGAACAGCAGAATAAATGCACTTTGTCAGCAGCACTAAAGGAAATGGAAGTTGGTGACATTTGTTCTTGCTATGTCCTAAACACAAAGGTAGCACAAAATTGCCCCAGTGAGAGACCAGATTTCTGGACTCATCCTGGGTACATCATCCATAATAAACTGCTTATTTATTTTTGGAGGAAAAGCTTTCCTACTAGGTAGACTGTGCTCTCCTCTGAGCCCTTGAATAAGAAGACAGGTGTCAGACACATCACAAAATGTTCAGATGAGAATTGCTGAAGGTGAGGAAACAACAGTAATTTATTATCACAAACTTTTCCCTTTATAATGTTCAGAAAACAAAGGGCTCTGAAAAACAGTAAATGAACGAAGAAGATGCTCTTCAACATTTTTTCCTTCAAGACCTATTTCTTTCTTGCCTTCATAGTGCAGATCTTTACCATGTAAAGATCAGAGGTGGTTGGCTGCAATTTTGATGCCTTTACACTGATAAATTCTATATGACTTTGCAGTATGCATTCACTGAATACATATGTGCAAGTAAATTCACATATACATTTGAGTGTATTTCTGCAGGTATATTTATCTCTTTTTATTTGAATATCTACTCATTTCAAACAGCTGTAGATAGAGTCTAAGTGAGGTGAACATTAAATGCTTGTGTACATCATGGAATCTTTCACAGACTAATGACTGAGTGATCATTTAAAATTTAGCAAATTTTGTTAATTACAAAACAAGAGAACAAGCAATTAATACATGCAAGATGTACTTTCCTCATTTATTTTGACAAGTGTTTAATTTAAATTATTTATGATTTTTTTTTATAGCCTACTAGTAAATACTCTGTAATGAAGTTTGAACATGAAAACAACTCTATTAACACTGACCTTACTCTAGTACTCTGTTATTACAGCTTTTTTCAGCAGTCAGGAATTATATACTTCAGGGCAAATGAGAAAATGCACAAATTAGTTTCTACTGTATAAGAATCAATTTATCATGCATATATCACAGCTTGATGATATAGCTATAAGATTAATAACCATAACATTAATTTATAATTTTACAGTTATCAGTATGACAATAATTGTGTAGTCATCCAGGATTTTTATGTTGATTTGCTGGTTCAGTCACATCTATTTTTCAACCAGGGTCAGGCCCATATACTATGTGTTATATATCACAGGATATCTTGAGGCAAAGGAATAAAATATTTTCTAAAATATTGGCCTGTACTACTCTCCATTTACAATTTATTTAAAAAATCTGCTAGTGGGCTCTACCACCTACTATACTCACACAAAAACAGTATAGGCCATTATTTCTAAATTATGAAACATTTCAATAATAGACTTCAAAAGACTCAGAATGATTGAAGAACTGGTATGGAAAGCATTATAAGAATAAAATTATTTTGCAATTACATTACTTAATAGCTACAGGGAAATAGTGATGTCTAGTGTTAATCCTTTGAAGTTCATTAAGAAGGAAGGAACAGAAAAAACACAATATCCAAGGAAAATGAAGTTCAGATGCCCCTCTTTTTATTCATTGGCCTGAAGATTTTGGCAGTAAGCAGGATGCAAAATTGTTTAATTAATAAGACAAGGATGCCAGAAGATGCAGATGTTGATACCCATTCAGACATAGTGCGATTGTGTGGCTGATATTAAAAAAGTAATATGCTAGTTCCAGACAACTCAGTAAAAATATAAAAATATAACTGTTGACTCCAAAAGGCTTTGAACAGTTTTGCAAACAGACAAGCATGGGCTGCATCATCACTCCATTAAGCAGTTTTCTTCCCCTGACTTTCCCTGACATTAGTTAGAGCACTAGATTTCAGGGGTGACGGCCTCAAAAACATTAAAACAATCAGGGCCATGCAACCTGTGTTCTCTTGAATTACACTATACAGTAGGCTGCTGTGTAGGTAAACAATTTTTGCCTAAACTCCTGTATACTCTTTAATGGAGGCCCTGGGTATGTAACTGACTGTGATCATATAATTTCTTTCCTGACATTAACGAAAAAATAACCAGATCACACATCTCTACCTGTCACTGGGACATGGCTGTGCCTCTCCTGTTGCTAAAGGTGTTCATGGAGGGGCACTGAACAAGATGACTTCTTTTTTTTTTTTTTTTTCTAAGTACAGAGGTGGATGCCACTGGCAATGTTGAGGATGGCCCTGTCCTCACTTTAGTCATTGATAATTGGGAAGAACAAAAAGGGACCAGGACATGCAGTGTGTGCAGAGGAACAAACAGTCTCACAGTCACATGCCACTGCATATTCGCTTCCTTGTACTTACTGTCATCTTTGGTCCTATAGCTGGGCAGAAAATAGTTGGATTAGTAGTGGGACTAATAGGGATGGGATAATCTAGGGAAGAAAGACTGAGAACTTGAGTCTGATCTAATATGTCTTTGTCTGGAAGAACTATTCAATGTCTCTTAATGTTCTTAAAGATGAAACAATCTTCAGTATAGCAATGGGCCTTTAGAAAATTTTTATGTGATGTCATGCCTAAAATAAACATGCATTTTACCCACACTAGAGGCATATTATAAAACTGCTTTTATTCAGTAAAATTCAACACTTACCTGTCAGCCCAGCGGCTTCTGCTGATAAGAAGGCACTCCAGGACAGGAGGAAAAATAGACCTGTCTCCAACATAGGAAACTCACACAGCTTTGTAAATTTTGTCAAGTGCTAAAAGATTACTAAGGAAAAATAAAAACAGTTTTGTAAGCTAAAATTGCTCCTGACCTGATAAAGGATAGAAGAAAGAAAGCTCCCCCACCATACTCATCTATACTAGTTGAATTCAGGAACAAATGCACAGTTTTTAAGTTATCTCAAAGAGGAAAATCTAGAACAGGTTTTGAAGTCAGCTATTTTAAGTGCTTTTGTGGAGTTTGAATTAATGCCTAGTTGTTTGCATTTGATATTCTTTTTCCCAGAAAAAAGAAGTAATTTTGTCCAGTTTTATAAGCTACCTGGCATTTGTTTACACTTGCATCCATGCAAGAAAGATGAAAATCACTTGTCTTTCTACAGTAGCATTTTACACAAAGAACTGTAAAACCCAAGAAAAAATGCAGGGCAACAGATAGACCTTTAATTTCTAGCTTAGGTAAACTGATGAAGTTGTCAGTCACACTGACATGTTGTAGTGTTTCCCTTGTATTTTTGTATAATTGCTGCTAGCTTGTAGTTCATAAATAAGTTACTGTATTTAATAAATTCATGTTTTGACTTCAAAACACTTTCTTTAAAATGCAACCATTTCCAAATAGTAAGATAAAGACCAGAGTCTTGCCTAATGTTCAAAAGAAATTTGAGCATAAAGTTCTTTGTGGGTTCTGACAAATAACATTTTCTGTCAATTTATGATTTGTCTGTTGGTTTGCAAAGACTTGAATCTAGAGTGAAAAGGTTCAGGCTTAAACTAAAAATGGTCAGTCTCAGATATCAGGTGTTTAATATCAGGTGTTTTTTCCAACATATATAAATTTTCTCTCTGAAAACAAACCATAAAGGATATTAAAGCTGTGACAACAGCATAAGAGGATCCCATGGCAAATGATCCAGCAAAGATCCCCAGGAAATTTCCCATTGACTGGAAGAAAGCCGCAGCATCAAAAGCATTAGGATTCTCCTTAGGACTGTAAATGGATATAGAGCTGAAAAGAAAACAAAAGGATAGGGGGGAGGGAAAGAAAAAGGAATAACAAACTCAATCACATTGTTACAATTTTAGAATCAATAATTGAAAATTAATATTTTTAGGGACTCAAAATGCAAACCAAAGCTTCTCTGGGCTAATAGCAGATGAGAGCAAAGCAGATGGAGACTGGGGACAACCAATTTATTTTCAAGGTGTCACACTGTAAATCAATAGTCTACTGCAAGTCAGTAACATTTGTATACTAGAAGTGCCATAAACAAGGCCAACTAAACATTAAAAGGTGATAGGTGTAGAAGAAAACTGCAGGGAAGATAGATAACTTTGAATTATTTATTGTCCATGTGTCTTCAGAGCAGTTACATATTCACAAATACTCGATAAGAAGTGCAGGTTTGTGGCTGAGGCTCAAATGGGGGACACAAATCACAGCAGGTACCAAACCTGCAGCAGCAATTTTGTCGTAAAGTAGTTCCCTTTTTGGTATAACCCTTCATAACTAGAGCTGAAGCCACATCAAGAGCTCAGCAATAGGAGACCTTGTGGGCAGGATGAATGTTGTCCCACAGAAAGAAACTGCTGCAGTTGTCAAAGGCCACCTCCTGTATCCCAGCCCCGAGTGCAGCCCTCATGAGTATTTTTGAAAAGGAAATGATGCCACTAAAGCAAATGGGCTGTGCATTAAATAATTTTTGAGAGTTTCAGGCTTGTTGTTTGTCACCAGTCAATTATTACCCAGAACACCAGTTACTCCTTGTATGAATGTCTTTTTTTCTTGTTGAAATGTTATATTTAACAGATGAAAAATTGCTCTAAGCCTCCTAAACTAATTAAGCAACACTTTAGATCTTTGTGTTCTGTTGCTTTGAGTACTGTAGGTCTTTTATGTTAGTTGTCAAAGAAAATGTACTGAGCTTGGCATTGGATTCCAGAATGCAGCTTGGATTGCTGGAAAATGATAAGTATTTTAAGCTTTAAAAATTTAGAAATTTAAAAAGTTGTAAGCATTTTAAGCTTTTGCATATTAAAAATGTGATTTTTGCAGTCTTTCACTTTGAAATAAGGCTTAGAGTTGAAGTTCTGCTTGAAGGATTTTTTAAATAGTTGCATTCAAATCACATGGAGATATGTGAAAACAGTTCTCATGCTTTCAGTCTGCAAAAAATGGCACAAGGTTTCTCAAGGCATATGGTGGAGCACCAATAATTATGAGGAATGAATACTCATCTACTACAACAGAAGTAACTAAGCCCTAAAATCTGCTCTCTCCAATTATGCTGATTAGCACCACTACAAAACTAGTGAGATTATTTGTGGTGGAAAGTACTATTGATGGAAGGATACAAAATATTATTAGCAGAGGAAATGCTAATCAGCAACATGTTGCTGTCCAAATTTTCAGTCCTTTTTCAACTGTGACTCTCTCAGACCAAGGGTCAGTTACAGTTCTTTGTTTCTCTTGCCTTCAGATTATTCCTGAAATGTTTTTCACCTCTGGCCTACTCAAAATGTATTGGTTTAGACCCCACATGAAATAAAGAACTATATTAAGCCACAGATGCATTCCCTAAACTGGCAGAATCCTATCAGCCGTGATACAGTCTGGTTAAAGTGTGATTTAGTAAGTGTATTTTGTGTTGTTAGGGAGGGCTTTGCTTTAGCTAATTATATAAAATTGGAACTATTTGGTAGTGTAACCAGAACTGTTAGATCTAAAGCTTGTGGGTCTGTCTTGACAGCAAAGCAGCCACTTTGCCCTCTGATGTTTGCCCCAAACAAGTATACAGAGACTTCAGCTGCTGTGCTGCTTGGCTTAGTGAATTATAAATCAGGACATGATCTTTTTTGCCATTGGTACTGCTGACAGCAATGAGTGGTGAATTCAGAGAGGTCAGCCTAGAATCGAGGAAAATGATTCTGTGACATTGATGGGCTTTGCCCATGGTAGGGATGCTCAGTAATAAAATGTAAAACAAAAAAATCTTGACACAGAGTGAAAGTTTAATAGTCTAATGTAAACTATAGTCATTAAATGACTTTTTATTAAGTATGCTAACATTAAAGGAAGAAAAGTCGACTTTATTAAGACCAATTAGGGTTCCAGTTTGCCCTCCAACTTAGCAATAGCTTTCAGGTATGAAGCAAACTAGAAGAAAGCATCCTATTCTTAATATAGTTATTTCAGGAACGAATATGAAGTGACTCATTCTCACTGGGAAATTTTTCTACTCAATACACCCTGAAACCCCAGGGTTTTTAAAAGCACCATAACACAGCACATGCTCATTGTCCTAACTGTGGTTCCTGGACTAAATCTTTCTAGAACTCGTGTTTCCCTGCAGCTCAAAGAGTATTTACTTCAGATTTTCACTTTGCATTATTCTCTATTAGACCCATTATTTATTTTTCTGAATATATTTCGTCTTTAACACTAACTTTTAACCCTTTCAACCATCCAAAATACACACTAATTTACCTGGCAGTTTTTCTATATCAGCTGTAATTTAGCAGAACAGGATTTTATCCTGTTTATTCCAGTACTTCCTGCCAAACCAATTATTTGGCGTAAAAACAAAATTGCAAAGTTTAACACTGGAGAGAGCCATAATTAAAATTATGGTTCCTCTACTCTTCTTCCTTTTCCTCAGAGAGCACTTCAAGAGGCGTGCTGGCATGACTTGCCATTTCTGCTCTCTGCTCTCTGTGCCTGCTACAAAAGGGGTTGATTGCAGTTCATTAATAAGCAGTGCGGGAGAGTTTGATACAAAATTTCAAACTGTGTTTAGTTTTTATAGGCTCTCTAATTGCTGAACTTGTTTAAGAAAAAAAAGAGTTTATTTCTGTAAATTGGTATCAGAGGTGGATTAAGGGAATGCATAAAATAAAAGCAGTAGAAAACCTTTTTCAGAGACTGATAAATGAACAGAATTAATGACAAAGACATGCTTTATCTGCCACCCACAATGAGATAGAATGGAAGGATAGTAATAAAAGATTTTTGTTGGATCCTCCCTGAATGCCCTATATATGTATCTCACAAACACCTGCCCCAGTCTCTACTATCTGTCTATATGTAAGTTTGGTAACCTCTCTCTCTCCTTCAGGTTGGAGTTAGAAATAATACTTAGCTTCCTTGATGGTTCTTATAAGGATTAGCCAGTATTTTCTATATTAGAAAGTTATTTAACAGAGGCCTTTTTATTTCCAGTTCTTCTGTGCTTCCTACACCAAACAACATTGGACAGGGTCAAGTGTTTTCACAGCTTTCAAGAGGGAAATCTAGGCAATATTTATTCATACAATAAATTGCAAGTTAGGGTGGTTGCTCTTGCTTGAAGCAGATAGAAGGACTGGCAGTTTGTGTCACTTGTACCACGCTAATTATTGCACTTCTTTCTTCCCCTCATCTGTTAAGATCACATTAGGATGAAAACTCAGCACAACAAGCACTTTCATTCTATGGACTTGTGCAGGGATCTCACAAAAAAGGTCTACATGAGAGGAGTGCTATTACAGTAGAAAGCATAGTTACATTTCCAGTTACATCTTAATTGATTCCTTTTTTACACCTTCAATTATTCTAAAGGATTTTCTTTTAACTAGTGGAAAAGATTCTTTTTCTTGATATAAGCCAAAGTGATGCAACATCTGCATCAGATGACTGTTAGAAAAAGGCAATATGCTGAAGAAAATACACTCAAGCATCAGAAGGAGAATGTTTGTAAACAGTAGAAATTTTCAAGTAGAATGATGTGGAATCAATTATTAGAAATAACCAGTAAACAGACTGTTTTATTCCTTTCTTCCTCCTTCTGTCTATTTGAACAACATGAAAACAAACAGCTAATTATCTTTGGACAGGAAGATTTCTTTCCACTTGCTAAATGAAAGGGCTTCCTTTAGCCCAGTGGCCTTCTTCCTATGTACCACTTTATCATGTAATACTGCACAGAAGAAAATTGGGAATAATGTGAAGAAAAAATACATGAAAATACAGAAAGGTCAGATGTTCCTTAAAATACCTTCATTGAATGAAGTGAGATCTCCCTCAGGTGATAAATAATTATAGAATTAAATGGCAATTTCATCAGCTGCTAATTAAGAAAAATAAAACAGGCCAGAAAAAAAGGCTTCTAGAGTTCAAGGTTATTTTTAAGAAGGAAAAAAGGTTGTTTTTCCTGACATTATAATTATATAGAAAAAGGTAGGTCACTATACTGTGTTAGAAAACTTGGATCTTTAAGAGAAGTGGATTGAACTGAACGATTTCTGTTCCCACACAACTTTTTTAACTATATAGTTTTCTTAAAAGTGTTAGAAGAAAGCTGAAAAGACAGAATTGTAATTTGCCCACAGTATAAGTGTTTGAGCTACAAGCTAGAAGTGAAAGCCCATGCAGACACCTACATCTTCTCTTGGCAAGTTTTAGGTTGGTAAAGCTTTCCAGACTTCCTCACAAAAGAGCTCCTCACACAGCAAGAGCAAGTAGATGAACTATAAAAATAAAAACAAATGAGGAGGTTTGGGACGTGAGTGTGCCAAGCCAACAAAAGCACGTATGAAGCAGGGAAGGTTTGAAGACAATTAAGGCAAAGCAGAGACAGATCAGTGTGGGAAGACTTTAGGCAGCCAATTGTAACAGTAGTTTGAGGCAAATACATGGAGATCCTCTAGATGAAAATTTCCAACAACAAACACTGTATTTTTCAGATGTGTTTAAAACAGTGATCAATAAGTAACGCAAATGCACAGAAGGTGCACTAAAAGAACACAGATGAATCTTTTGAACATCCTTCTGTATAAGGAAATCTATCTTTCTGGAATATATGCCTGATAATACTTGCATGTTTTTAGATATTTAAGGCTCCTGAAACATGGATTTCACAGAAATACACATATTAAGCTTTCTATTGATATGTGTGTAAGAGCTGCAAAAGATAAAGGTACTGGTGGTTGAATTGCTGCTGGAATGGCCAGTATTTGAACCTTCATTTTTCT